AAAACTACAGATGAAAATAATCAAATTCTTGTAAATCGAATGACATGGTCAACAATACAACGACATTTGAAAACATTTCTTGATACAACATGGATGGATGGACATCAACTTGTTATTTATCGTCATGCATCACTTGAACAGGTTTAGATTCAAATTATGAATATGTATATAATAATTTTTATTCATTAGATATTACAAAAACGTTGTTTAAAAGAAAATACAGATGAAATACGTTCTTTAAATAGTTTTATGGCTGATTTTTATCTTAAACATTCAACAATTAAAGATTTTTCTTCTCGTCGTATTCCATATCATTATGAACAAGGTCATATGTATAAAGAGCTTGTTACATATTTACGTTCGTCAGAATCACGTAAAATTAGTCGAATAGATCGACAAGCATATCTACGCGTAAGAATATTTATTTTATAAAATAGTTAAATTATAAAATATTACAATCAATATATTGTTTTAATTATATTTAGAGACGTCGTTGTACAAAATATATTCCTCATGCCGATACTCCTTTAAGTCAACGTGCTTACTTATGCCATATATGTGCCATGCAATTTAAACTAGGTCCATTTACAATGGCAAAAAGTTCATGTTTAATTTGTACTAATATGATTATGGGAGGAAATATGGCACAAGCAAATGCTTTCAAACGTGAAGCACGCCTTTGTCAAAAACATGGTTCGATGGGTTATCCACATTCACTTCAATGTATTGTTTGTAGAAGTCTTCGACCAAAACCAACTGGAACAGCACCAACAGTTACTGATCCTGTACCGTTAAATATTTGTTTTGATTGTTGGTGTGCAGGTGGAGCAACACCACGTTGTTGTGCATTGGAACTTGACTAAACAAAACATATTTTTTTTCTATTGTGTGAAATAAATTTCTTTTTTTTTATATATAATTCTAATCAAACTGATTTTTATAAACAGTTTTGTAAAAAAAGGTTACGTTGATCAGACTAATAATAGAGATAAATCTCTATTGAAGAAAAAAAAATGATATAATTGTTTCGGAACTTTTTTACTAGGTACTCAATAGTGCTATTTAACATGAGAGCAACCGACGAAAACTGACAATTTTTTTTCATTACATTTTCTTCATATCAAACCTAAATACGCCTACTGTAAAACATCATGAATTGTTGTTGTCAGACAACGAAATTATCTTTTTTTTTTAGAAAACTTCGCTTATTTCATATATCAAAATCAAATAGACACATTGAATTTTTTTTATTCTAAATGTGGTGTGCCATCAACATTCATATTTTCCTTTCACCTGTCAGTCCGAAATATTAATTGGTAAATAGTGATGATGATAAAAGAAAAACCATAATCATAAAAACTCGAATGCCATCTAGTTAAAATTGTCGTAATTGCTTATTTTTGGATCTATGATGAAGCACTTAGTAACGTGATCAGTATAACTAATTATTTCCTGAACAAATGATTTAAAATCAACTAAAATATATGAATACACTACATATAGAACATAAAGAAAGAACAAAGATTGTGTTGCAATTCATTAATGAATTATTTAATGCTCAAATTTTAGCTCAAGATAGTAATGGAAAATTCGAAGATGTGTACGATCCAATGAAGATTTATGCGGAATATTATCGAGAAAAAATATGGAGAAAACAATTTTCTAGCTTTCATTGATTAATAACTTCATTGCACAAAAATTGGAGGAAAAGGTTGTGGATATTGGCTATGAATTAACAAACGACCCATATCCTCATTTCCCACAGAGTTTTCGAAGGTGAAAATGATTGTTAGTTTCTCAGGAACAGAATCTTTGAAAAGCCAAAACCTGAGTTTTTAGTTCCTGAAATTTGAAAATGGAAACCAAGAATGATAGAATAAACAGTTACGTACAATATGTAACATCTTCCAACTCTCTATGATGTTTTTTGACTGCGATACATCAATCCTACAGAAGACGCAAAAGTAGTTTTTCTATTATTTTGCATGGAAACTTCATCTTTGTGCCTTATGTAAGCTTGATATATCTTAGATGTGAATGTGGACCGTTTGTTAACTTATACTCACACCGACATCCAACGAATAGTCTCCGATCATCGTAAACCTGAAGAGCTTACGACTAGCTAGGTATCGTAACAGTTGACCTTGAGGGTGTTCACGAAAGATTTGGTCTGAATTACAGGTCTGGCAGGCCGTTCTTCGTCTTTAACGTCTTTTCGATCTCTACGAAACTATTCATATCATCTTTCAACTATTTTAAGAGGTAGAGCCTAATCGCCGAAAACAAAATATAGTTATATTATAAATAACTCTCGCCTGAATATACTCAACAGTACAGAATGTATTGTAGAATCGAAAGTTTTACTTATCTAAGGAAATCAGAGGTAAACAGCTTTGATTGAAATTATTATATGATTATACTAACTAAAGGATGGTAAAATATTATAGAAAATATAGAGCACTATTTGAACTATCAGTATATAAAGTAGATATTAAAATTACTCAGCTATGTAATAGATAGATTTATATTCTTTTGTGTATATCTTAACAGCTAGATGAGATGTGCTAGAATCATTAATTATGAATGACGATATAATTATAAAATGCCATTTTCATTCTTCTAAAAGTGTTCAAACACTTATTTTTGCAAACTGCATGTTCTAAGTTAAAATGTTCGTTATAATACACGATTCAATAAAACAATTTGTGCTCTCCGGAATTCCTATAACGTTTACCTTATTTTATTGTTCAATATATAATTAGCATGGGCACTACAAACTGCATCAGGTATTCTATTTGAATCGACATTTCATGTTGAAAAATTGTCTTAGTCATCTTCTATGTATACACCAATCACAGATAGAGGTTCTTGTATTGTCTTATTCACGTATCGAAGAAGATAAAAGTTGTTTTAACAGCATGGATTTGTAAGGAATCTTTTTCCGTGCAAAACTCTTGTATTTGAAATCAAAACAAATTATATCACTTAAGTTATATAACTTTGTTACACTATGAATAGCTGGAGTAAAAAGCTTACCGCCGTCTTAGCAACATCCGAAGTACAGATCTCACTCAATATATAGCAAGTTTCTACGCGTTACTGTCTTTATAGACAGAGGATGAAATTTAGAACAATGCGCTATGTTAAGTTTCATTTGATATATCCTTGTTTCTGAGACTGAAATAAGCTTTTTTATTTCTACTATTTATAGCGTAACAAAGGTGTATAAGTTAAGTGGTATAATTTGTTTTGATTTCAAATACAAGAGTTTCGTATGGAAAAAGGACAGTACAAAAGCATCTATCTGTGTATTTTCTGATTCTTCGTTCTCGAAATCATTTTAACAGAAAATGATCAAATTCTATGCCTGTGTGATAAGTAAAAGAAAAAGAAAATTTACAAATGACCACATAAATATGGTGTGAAATGATCTCAAATTTCAACAATGGGGTTTGAATTAAAGTAAGAACTAGAAACAATTTTACCTGGAGTTGATTCTATCCTGTCGAAGATTTTCATTATCTCATGTAAAAGATGGAGACCAAATCGGTGTTTTGAAAAACTTACTGAAGATGAACAAAAACGTATATTGAAGATTCAAAAATGTTTGTATCATCTCGAGACATCGATCTCTCTGACAAAGATCGAACGAGTTTCTAGCGACTCGCCATTCTCTAGGTCACCGCGACACAATTTACAGATTTTTTTTACAGTGAAAAACACACAAAGTATGAAGGTCGAATGCATACACGACCGACTACAGAAATACTTTGCTTCACACCGCATTACACAGCTCATGAGCAATCGAGCTATTATCATATGGTTCTATAGTACTTTTCAAGAGCTTCAGAATGGTATAAAAACATCGAGGAAAACACTGGCTACTTGAAGAAATTCTAAAGACATTTTTCTCGAGACAAGGTTTTTAGCCGTTTTTATAATGATATTCAGTAGATTTTGATCAAAAAATTACGATTGAGTTGAAAACTAATATAATATTTTGAATCAGCACCTCAAATTGAGTGGATTTAGTTGTATTTCGAATATTTTCCCAAACTTTTTTTTCATCGAAAAATTTACAACTGATCTCCCTCAAGGTTGAATCAACAAATGAATTTTATGAAAATTCTGTTGTTATTGTTTAGTCATCTGCTATTTGGAGTTCTACTATCGTTTTATGATCTTAGAACGTGACTCCCATTGTTAAAATGATTTTTTTGATGAAACTCATTTGTTGATCCAACCCTGAGAAGACCAGTTGTGAATGGTTTGACAAAGAAAAAAGTTTCTGAAAATATTTGAAATACAACTAAATTCACTCAATTTGAGATGCTAATTCAGAATATCAGTAAAACAAGGCGCAAAATTTCCTCACGAGAATAGTGTCCTTGAAATTTTTTTCTCGATGTTTTTATACCACCTTAAACTGCTAGAAAATGACTATCAAATCATATGAAAATAGTCCGATCGCTCATAAGATGAGTAGATAAAAGAGCTGATTGTCATTAACAGTAGGTTTCAATGTACATGTGACGGTCATTGACTATTTCAATCGGCCTGTGCACAGCACGAATAAGTGCTAGAGGACTAATTCTACCAAGGCTCATTTTCAGGCACCTAATGTGACGGTTTGACATAGATGAAATCAAATTTTTCGAAGCAGTCAATTTCAGCAGTTATTGACTCCCTTCTTTAATCAGTTATTCATTTTTTTTTTTGAGAAAAGTCTTTTTGGAACTTATTCCCTTAAATATCTTATATTAATAAATTTTTGAGTAGATGTAATATATCTGTAAAGATATGTTTGAATACTTTAGAAAGTTATATTTATTGTTATCTATATCATAGATAAACAAAAAAGTTCGTAAATAAAAAGTTAAAAGTGTGCTAAAAGAAGTATATTTACGTAACGTATCTTGTCTTTCAAGGCATCCATATTTAATGTTGTTTAGTTATCAGTAAAATAAAGAGAAGGTAAGGTGCATAGTAATTTTAAAAAAATGACAGAAAAAATGAGTAGTATACCGCCTATTGTTGGACTCAAATCAAATGCATCAGTGGACACTTTTTATAGTCGTATAAAGCGTAGACATCTTATTGGTGCTGCACTAATATTTCTTGTTGTACTTTCAACTGCACTCCTAATTACTGTAATTGTTCAGGCAAAAAATCGTAGACAAAACAATAATAACAATGCCAATCAATACTGTCTCAATCAAGGATGTCTTTCAGCAGCAACACATCAATTACGTTTTATGGATACTACAGCATTAGCTGATCGTTGTACAGATTTTTATAAGTATGCATGTGGTGGTTGGGAACAAACACATCCAATTCAATCATTCGATACTGAACGAACAATACTTGGCGATGTTATTAGTCGACGTGATGCCGATATTGAACGTCTTCTTGATTCCCCTATCTCTCGTACGTCTCCAACAACTTGGGAATATAAAGTTAAAGTTTGTATTTTATTATTTGTTTTAATAACAAAAAAAAACCAAAATTATCGATAATTATTTTAGACTTATTATACAGAATGTATAGATGATTATGCACGTGTACCTGATAGTGGTAAAGCAATGGTAGATCTAATCGGAGATCCTGCTGCGGTCGATGGTTGGTTTCTTTTTGATAATAGTGCTGCAAATGCTAGTCAAACTTCTTTATTAAAACCTCAACCTGTTGTTACACAAATATCACGTGTTCATGGAGGTCTTGGTAAATATATTTATACGTATATTTTTTTTTCCTTAATTTTTTCTTCTAGGTGCAAATGTTGTATTTGGTTTACGTGTAAGATTTGATGATACAGATCCAAATATTAAACAACTTGAAGTATAATATTGGCAAGAAAATAATAAGTTATATTTTGATTATTATATTATAGTTCTTTCCAGCTGGTTTAACATTGGAAATTAATGATTATCTTCTAAATGATACAGTATCACAAACAGTAAGTTGAAAAAATTTGATGCCTATTCACCTCGATCAACAACAAAAAAAACCTAAAGATTTGAAAGTCTATTGGAAATGAAATTAGAGAACACTTGATGAATATATGAACTATATTTTGCTAGTCTTTTGTAAAACACGATTAAAAGGAAAGTAGAAGTATAGGAGTAAAAATTTAAACTCTACCCCTCTCTCCATAGACCATGACAGGCGTTGTTTATATACGATCAAAGACCGTATATCAATGATGTCCTGTTATTATATACAAACTACTTGCTTTTGTATTTCTAGAGTATGAAATAAAGGGATGATAAAAAAATGTGTCCCAAAATAGATAGAATAAAACAATCTTCCTGTGATTGGTAACGACAGCTTCATCGTATTTCACATTTTAATCCCACAAGGATTGTGCTAACAGCTTTTTTTTTTGCATGATCTTATCATTCTCTATTTTTAAGATATTTGAAATCATACATCCATTATTCAGTATTTAGATATAGTTTGAACTGCTCTACATAAGAATGAAAGCATGATATAACATTCAATCTCATTGGAATCCGGACCAAATCCAAATAGTTAACAAAAGTTCACATGTATTTTGGGATGATCTACTCACATAAATAATAGTTGGGTGTAACTAACAGCAGATATTATCAGTATACTCTACTAGTCTTCACTAGAGTATAATTTTTCATTTAATATTGTGTACTTATAATAGTATGGTGAAACTGAATGAGGTCCTTGCGAAGCTCAGATGGTTGTGTAAGAGGCTAAAATAATAAGAAATAGTTATTAGAATCACTTCATATGCATTTTTAATTCTTCATATTGTTCATTTTCAATAAGGAATAAGTTAGATAATTGTTATTATTAATACATTTTGTTGTAAGAAAATTAATTAATTAATTATTATGTTTTAGCGTCGGTCTGCTTATCGATCGTATATTCTCGATGTATTAACTTTACTTGTAAAAGATGCTAAAATAAACGATGAAAATCTTAATGATCGTATTTCTACTGTTATTGATGATATAATTGGAGTTGAAACCGCTTTAGCTCAAGTGTGTTTCTACAAAAGAAAAGAAATATTTAATTCGTTATTTTCATTAAAATTTTTTAGGCTCATCAAAAAAGTTTAAATAATGGTGATAAAAGAATATCAATGACGTTACAACAAATGTCTGATAAATACATGGTAACGTAAAAAAATCAAATTTATATATAAATTAAAATCTTTGTTTAGTTTAATTTTGTTGAATTCATGGAACATGAATTAGTTGATCCAAGCATTGTATCTGGTATAACATCAGTTTACGTTACAAATCCAATATATTTTGACGAAGCATTTGCATTCTTATCAAATAACAATGAGTATAAATACATATATCATCATTGTTATTGTTTATTTTTCTTAATCGATTTATCTTAAATTTAGTCCAATATATGCTCGATGTATTCATAATTATATGCGATGGAGACTTGTTCATACATATATTGAGGATCTTGCATATAATTATGTACATGCATATCGAGTATTTCTTAATAAATATTATATTCATACATTACATTCAACAAATGAAGCTTATTGTACACGTGAAGTTATACGAAGATTTCCACTTGCTATTCATCGTTTATATACAATGAATTCAACAAAAGATTCAAATACAATGGAAACTGTATATATGAATTTTTTTTTTCTTTCACAAAAATTTTATTTTATTTTATTTTAGGTTCAAAAGATGTTTGATGCATTAAAAAATGGATTAAAGAAATATATTAATGAACAAGCAACATGGATGACTGATGAAACAACAAAAGCAATAGCAAGACAAAAAATAGATGCACTCACAGCTGCTATTGGTTATGCTAGTATTGCTTCAGATGATGCACGTCTTGACGAATATTATGCAAGAGTATGTATTAAAAATTAAATGATATAATTGTTATTTGAAAAAAAGAAATTTAGTTTGCTGTTGGTGAAAAATCTCATTTTGAAAATGCATATGGTTATCATCGTTTTCATACATGGACAATTTCAAATTCATTATTAAATCCTAGTCAACTTGATCATTGGGATCTTTTTGAAACACGAACAAGTCGACTTTTTGATTATATTGCAATATTTAATCGACTTTTTGTTATTACTAGTGCTATGAATGAACCACTTTTTAATGCTCAATGGCCATGGTAAGTTTTTTATTTTAATTTTATTCATTTTTATTTTTCCAAAGAAAGTCAAAAGTAAAAGTAAAAGTAAAATATAAATTTATTTTAGTTTTAGTCTTCACTTATTCATTGATATTAACAAATTGAAATAAAGAAAATTCTTTTGTAAGATCATTTTCACTGATGTCTCATTCTCGATCATCTCTAAATTTCTACAAGACTAATTCTTTTTATAAATAGCAACTGAAGTTCTGATTTATATTTTGACAAAATTATTTCACGACTTGTTCGCATGAAATCTAGAAAACAAATATATGAAACAATTAAATCATGATTTTTTTTTTAATAGGGCAATGAATATGGGTTCATTAGGTGTTCTACTTGCTCAAAAACTCTTTGCTAGTATTGATGGACCAGAAGGTAAGTGATATGATTTAATCTGACTTATAATAATAATAATAATAATAAATTTTGTTAAATTTAGGTCGTATACATGCAGCTAATGGAACACGAATACCTGATTGGTGGTCAACATTAACAGAAAATGCATATAATACAAGTCGTCAATGTATAACTAATTATTATGTACGTGATATACAAACACTTCCGTATAATATAAATGGTGTACAAGTATCAGTTAGACTTGCTGGTGAACCATTTTCTCCAACAACTCTTCGACATATTGGTGCTCTTCGTTTTGCCTATACAACATTGAAAGAAAACGATCAAATGAAATCATTCAAAATGCCTGGTACAAATTTAACAAATGAACAAACATTTTTTCTTGCTTATGCTCAAACACAATGTTATAAACGAGAAGATTTACTTCAATTTGTAGCAACACAATTAGGTATTTATGATGAAAGAACAGCATTAAATGCTGCACTTATTCATATGCCAGAATTTTCTGATGCATTTCAATGTAAACCAAAAGATAATAAATGTTTTTGATTTTATTAATGAAATAATAAACAAATCAAATGTGCGTGCTTTTGTATTGAGAAAGATAATTAAAATTTTACCTTCACTGTTTTTGTTTTCTTTCTTTTGAAGTTAATATTGATGATTTTTTTTTATTTTGCTGATGAATGAAATACCCCACCGATCAGTTTTATTAAACAACGAGATCGTCGTGAAGATATGTCGTTCATGAGCAGATGACAAAGATCAAATGTGTTCAAATGTCGTTTTATGTTTAATTTGTCTAATCGATTAGAGACAAAACGATACAAAAAAAAAAAAATAGCCATTTAGTCTTGTCGTCATATGTAGAAAAAAAGAAAGAAAGAGAAAAAAGAAAACGATATAATGTGTGTGTCAGATGGACAAATCATTTCATTAATATGACATAGAGAAATTATCATTTTTGCGTTTGAATAACAAACACACTTGTCACCATTATATAGAACATTGTTCGATTCGAAGAGTATTATCAATTAACAAATTCTGTTACTCTTCTATGAAATAAAGTCATATAAAATGTACGAAAAAGCTGAATAAAATACATTGTATAAGTTAAAAATGTTTAACTATTCAAAATTTGTGTTTAATCTAATTGATATTTGATGATGAATGATATTTAATGTACTTATCAAGATGCATCTCTGTTTTTTATATAGGACATATAGAGCAAAGCTGGTCATTTTTGATCAAATATTTCTTCATTTCCTTATTATACAGATTGATTATATATGAACTAAAAGATATTGTTTAAAATTGAATCAAACAAAGCAATGTTGAAAATAAACTTTGATAATGAATTTGACTAGTTTTCTTTTATGATAATTAAGAGAAAATCCTTTAATAAAGTAACGCTCTTTATTTAAGTAGGTTTTTTTTCTGTATGGAGAAATGTGTGATAGAAAAATTTTAATATGATGTCCCGTTATTTTAGTTTAAAACATATTAAAGAATTTAATTCTTTATTTGGATCATTTTTGAATCAATGAATATAATGAAATAGATTAAGCAGTCAGATTTCAATTCAGAATGTCATACTTTATTTTAATTTTTTTCTTCAATATTTCTTCTATTTCGGAGTGTAAAGAATAAGCTTTATGTTTACAATTTGATGAGAAAAATGCTTCAATACCAATAGATCTGATCGAATATATTTGTTTATAAATTGTTTCATGAAGTCTTTTAGAACATTAATACATATATAAATAATAAGATCTGCTGGTCTCCGTTTGCCTTAATGTACAAAAACCGAACATGGAATTATTTTTGCTCTGAATAAGACATCTTTTATGTTACATAAACTTTCGTTCTTTAAAAAAAGCTGTTAGCACAATCCCTGCAGGATTGAAATGTGAAACACAATGTAGCTACTTTTGCTAATCACAGAGGACTTGTTCTATTTATTCTATCTATTTTGGAATACATTTCTTCACTATTCTGGTGTAGAAATGCAACAAGGAACTAGTTCATATATAGTAACGAGACGTTATTGATATATGATCTGCAATTGTGTATCAACAACATCGATCACGAACTATGATGACACTAAACGGATTCGAGTTTCTATCGGAAATTGACTTAAGCTGTCGAATTTTTAATATCGATATTTTTTAGAGGCCTCAGATTTTCGAGAAGCTCGTATTTTCGAATTTTAATCTGAAATTTTTGTGCATGTAGAGAACTCAACTAGGCTAACTTCCATAAAAGAATTCAGAAGTTTCGACCAAAGTCTCTTCGAGATATGAAGCTTTCAAAAAATGCATGTTATATACGCTATTCAAGGATCTATATTTTGAGAGTCTCATATCTTAAAGAGACTTTGTTCGAAACTTCTGAATTTTTTTACGGAAGCTAATCTAGCTCAGTTCTCTATATATCCAAAATGTTAGATCAAAATTTGAAAATACAAGTTTTCCGAAAAACTGCACATTTTTAAAATTCGATAGTTTAGTCAAATCTCAATAGAAATCGAAATCTTTTTAGAGTTCTATGTAGGATCTATAGGCAAAAAATTATTGCAATTGGAGAGAAAAATCTGAGGAGGTTCCCTTGTAAGATGTGTGTAAGAGGAAAGGTCCAAATTTCTACCTCTACAATTCAAAATTTCTTTTAGATCGTATTTTACAAAATGATGCAATTCATTTCAGATTCTGATTTCTTGTTTGCTTATGCTCTTCATATGACTTCGCCGTTGTGTTAACTGTGTACTGAGTAGAATATTTATATGCGAATAGAAACACAACAAAATTCATCTTACATCAACAATAATTCCAATCTAGATCCCACGTTCACAATAATCATAAGAAATCTTAGATCGTGATTTGTAAAATTTTTAATCTTTATTTAAATAAATATTTAACAAATAAATACCAGTGCAAAAGAAAACCGACGAACTAGATGATCAATATCGACTAAATTTTTTCTTTTGTATCTTTGTATACTAAATAACAAAAGAAGGACAATGTGAAACGATAGAAAAGTTATCAAAAAAATAATAAATATTCTAAGAATTATCATAAGAGATTAGAATATTTAATAGTTTCGATTAGCTTCAAATAATGATTGACCACCAGCTGTGCCACTAGCACCACCTTTATATTCACCTTTAGCAGCAGCACCATGAGCCTAAAAAAAATCACATCATTAAAACCCTATGAAAAAATCTCAAATTTCTATTTTTACTTGAGCACGTTTAAGAAGTTGATTTTGTGCAGCTGAAACATTTTCAGGTCTACCAACCCATGTAGCAAGAACACTAGCTTGAAGTGCTCGTCCATAACTAAATGTTAATGCCCACGGTTTTTTGCCAGGATATTGATTAATAGCATTTAAATTAATTGATGCTTCTTCTTCCGATTGACCACCTCAAAAAAAAAAGCCAAAGATATTTACATGACATATTTCCTTCCTAATTAATACAAATCATACCAGATAAAAAACAGATGCCTGGCACAGCAGGTGGCACAGTTCGTTGTAATGCTGTTACTGTTGCTCGAGCAATATCTTCTGGTTTATATTTTTTCTTACAATCAAAACCTATATTCAACAAAAAAAAAAATTTTGCTTTGTTTTTAAATTAAAAAAAAAAACAAAACCTTTTTTAGCAAACCTGCAGTAACCATATTTGGTTTGAGAAGTGTTCCTTCTAAGAAAACATGATGTTCATTAAGTGCTTTATATGTTGCTGCTAAGACTTTTTCAGTAATATATTGACATGTTTCCAAATCATGATCACCTTCTGATAATACCTAGAATAAATCAATTAAATAAAATATAATTCGAAAACAAAAATAATCTTACTTCTGGTTCAACAATTGGTACAATACCATTCTATAATTAAAAGAGTAAAAGAACTTTTTAATTTTCTTAATTATTTTTATTTTTTACGAGAGAAAACATTTAAATATCCTCTTCCATAGAAACGAGATGAGCTATCTTGTAGGAAATTTTTTGCTAATCACAAATATATTGATACCTTAGCTGCCATCAATCGAACATCTAATGTAATTTTTCTCTGAGACAGATATTTTCATAAAATATCAAATATCTCAGTATTAATTGCAAAATATCACGTTTCATAGAAAATTCTTTTCTGATCATTGTTGTAAAAAAAAATGATTTTTTTGTTGTAGTTGAAAAATACTACTACTAAAATATGCTTATGAATACGTAAGGTAGTAAAAATAAGTTTAACAGCAACGCATTTTTTTTTCCTATAATGTTAAGAATCTAGCTCAAATTCAGACAATGATTTTAATAGCTAATGAAGTTTTCTATGTAATGCATTCGATACTAAGCCTTCATAGATGAACTATCCATCGAAAAAATTTTTTTATTTACAATAATGATATAGAAAAGAATTCTCTACAAAACATGATATTTTGCAATTAATTCTGAGTTATTTGATTTTTTTTTAAATGAAACTATCCACCTCACAGGCTAATTGTCTTTCAGATTTTTTAAGGTTTTGCTCGGTATCGGCTTTTCTTGTTTCCTAGTGATGACAATTGAATATGTTTCCTTGTTCGTACTTGTTGACAAATAGATGCATAACGTGCTAAAACATTTGATGTTTCACGAATACATAATTCAGATGGTAAACCATCACCAATTTTTAATGCACATCCTAAATAAACAACCAAAACTTTTAGATTCATAAACAATTTGAATACATACGCCATTTAGCAAAACGTGCACCATCTCGATAATATTGTGCACATCTTTCACTAAGATTATCAAGACCTTGTGTTGTATTTTCTCCATTTGTACCCGCTAATGGTACAAGACCTTTATCAACTTTAATACCAGGTATAATACCTTTGTCTTTTAATATTTCACGAAATGATTTTCCATTATTATCATATTGATAAAATGTTTCATGAAAAAAAATAACACCAGATATATAATTTGATAATTCTTTTGAGCCAGTAAATAAAATTTGACGATAAAGACGACGATTTTCTTCATTATTTTCAAGACCAAGTGGTTGAAAATGTTTTAACATTGAAGCTAATAAACATTTTGTTAAATAGAATATTTTCGTTTTAGTCTACCTGTAGATTCATCAGCAGCTAATACACCTTTGCCTTTTACTATAAGTGTGGTAGCTGTTTCAATTAATTCTTTTTCTTTATCAGCAGATAAATATTGAGGCATACTAAAATTATGTTTTAAAACAAAAACAAAAAAAGAAAGAAAACATTGCTTTTAAATTATAATATCTTACTTTGATGAATAGATAAATAAATTTTCACTAAATTTTTTAGAAGCTTTTCCACTGTTGTTAATATCCGACGGTGGATTAACGGTACAACGAAATCTAAAAGAAGAATAAATATGTATTATTTTTTTGCCTTGCTTTACTTTAACTCAACCATCGATGGAAATAGGCGAAGCAAGCAAGCAAATAGAGAAGAATTTTTCCAGGAGACTTTTTTTTCCTCTTGCTGTGTTTACTGATGTAAGCAACTAAGACTCGAGACAACGACGAG